TAAAGGTGACATAGATACTTTATTATGGTATAGTATTTAAATATGTGCCTGAGAAACACATAATATTGGCCCTTTAAAATCCTTGTAGAGTTGTTACAGGTGTTTTAATTCTTCCAGTTGAGTTTCTATTATTATAAAGCTACATTTTTATCTTAAAATATTGGCAGAAATTTAAGCAAACGTGTCTTTAGTATGATATTGAAGGAAATGTATTCAGTTCTATGGAGTCTTTTTCACATATTAATGCTTGAGATGGTTAAAATATTTCTATGACCAATGTGCAATCAGTTTATTTTCATGCTGTTGAGAACAACCAATCACTGAGGGATTGTCTAGTTACACGTCTTGGTATGATACAACACAATTAGACACGTAATGTTTGTACGTTAGGACTTCCTTGTTAGGAAACTGTGTCATCTGATCAGTGAGATCATGTTTCCTCCTTAGATTGTCATTTTCAGGAGGTGTGACTCAGTTCTGGACATTATTAAAAGGTGCTGTGTTATGATGAAYAAAAGGGCTTCAGTGCAGTCTGAAACAGACACCGTGCTGCTGAGAGGGCCTTGTTTTGTTTTGTTTTGTTGATAAGACTCTGGGTCACTCAGGCGCGGGGAGACGGAGGCTCTGAACACTGAAATGGAGATATAGGCCTGAGGAATAAGCTTTTTAAAGAGAATCAACTTGGCATTCTGTAAAATTATTCTGGCTTCCAGTTTTGATCATGTCTTATCATTTCTTACAATTACACATGAATATTGGAATATTTTTTTTACAGTTTCAGCCCAGTGAGATGCTACCTTTTTAGATTTTGAGTGAACACAGAAAATCTATCCAAAGTGATGTAGATGGGGTCTAAATCAAAGATTATCAACTGTATTTACTTTAACATACTTAARCAAAAACTAAACTCACTGTATGTCTTTGACATGTGACAGTTGCCTCCTTTGTGCTTGATTTTTAAGCTGTGCAAAACACGTTTAAAATGTTGCTTCACATTACTTGCATATCTTCTTCATATCTGCCACAGGTTGGACTTGGTCTGTGAGCTACTGCGCGGTCAAAGATGACTTGGACCTGCTTCGATCTTCGGATAGCTTGGAGCATTCATGGGCCGTACGCACAAGAGGCCGAAATCGGAGCCTGGGTTCTCTTCTGGACAGACCCATGGAGGCTACGCACAGAAGGATAGTGTCCTGGTTCGCAGATCACCCCAACGCCTCGTTTGGGATACACCGGCTCGTGGAGTTGGGTAAAAGCTCAGGGAAGAAGGCCGGGGACTGGTACGGTCCGTCCACCGTGTCACATATCCTCCGGTGAGAAAAGATGTGATGGCTGAGAGTTCAGGTGGTCTCTTATTTTAGTTTTTTTTTTTTTCAAGCTCTGAAAGTGAATGTTTGTGTTTCAGAAAAGCTGTTGCAGCTTCAGCTGATCTTCCCAGTCTAGTTGTGTACATCGCTCAAGACTGCACCAGTGCGTGTCTTCTTGTWTTACATTCTTCTATTACTGCTTTTTAAAGCAGATAAGAACCACTTATTTTCTATTTTGTGTATGTGTTTAGTCTACCTGCAGGATGTGAGGAAGCTGTGTGAACGGCCCCACCCTCACTGCTGGAAATCTGTCATCATCCTGGTTCCTGTGCGACTCGGAGGGCAGGAGCTCAATCCGTCCTACATCACTTGTGTCAAAGTATTTAAACTCTGGACTACACTCACAAAAACAGAGTCAGAAAACTGTTCTGTTTTACAGCTGCACTGTTAAATGTTCCTTGAATTGTTTGCTTGTTCTACAGAATCTGTTGAAGCTGGAATCCTGCATCGGAATTATTGGTGGCAAACCAAAGCACTCGTTGTTCTTCGTTGGCTTCCAGGGTAGGTTTGCTAAATGAGCACTATGATAATGGTGCCATATCCTTTTGTTTATTCATTTATTTATATTCTGGTTCTGCTCTGCACAAGATGACCACTTGCTGTACTTGGATCCTCACTACTGTCAGCCCACAGTAGATACAAAAAACAAGAACTTTCCCTTAGAGGTATGGTGATTTATTTCTTTTTTCTTGCTTTCTGCTTTCTTTCCTCCTGGGACACCTGTTCAGCTAACTTAAGTGGGAGTTTTGTATAGGGGACCAAAACTGACATATTTAAAAATAAAAGCAGAAATATATAAATGGATCAATACATAAATAAATAGACTTAGAACTTTACCTCATGTTTAATCATTTAATTGACCTTCATATTCATATTTCTAGCTTAGTTCAAACAAATTATATATTTTAGCACATAGTTAAAATTTTACTGTTTTTGTAAATATATATATATATTTTTTTTTTTTATTTGATGTGTCTCTTAATTTTTTGTTTTTTGTTGGGGTTTTTTTCCAAGACTTTTTATTTCCATGTGTTGTTTTTTACATTTTTGTGTCTCCTGTTTTTACTTTATCTTATGCATTTCTACCTCATTATACAAATAAGGTGGGCTGGCCTTCTTGGGTCAGCTCCTCTATGATTGGTCAGTAGACAGGAAGGAACAGGATCCATGAGCAGAACAGCTGTGCTGCACAATCGACCACGTTACCTGCAAAATCTTGTCAAAAGTCTCTTCTAAAAACAAAAATGGTGTGACTGTTTTAAACTTTTATTTGATGGTATATTTAAACTTATGCGTGTTTTTAAACATGTTCACTTCACATATTAGAGTATGTGTTGAGGATAAATATAAACTACTCAGATTACCTCGATATCTGTAAAACTGAATGGAGTTTGCTAAAGTTGATTACTTGTGGTAGGTAACTCTAATCAGCTGTACATTTTGCTAACATGGCAGAGAAACGAGCACACAGACACAGACAAAAACAGTTTTGCCTGCTTTTTACCATTAATGGATTCCTGTTAGATCTAATGGGCAACATTAGGCCTAGATTTTGAGCATCTTTATTTGTTTCTTCTTCTCTACTTGCAGTCATTTCACTGTAAACATCCCAGGAAGATGTCTTTCTCTCGCATGGACCCCAGCTGTACCATTGGTTTTTATGCCAAAGGACAAACAGAGTTTCAATCCCTCCGTGCTGCTGTTAATGAGGTAGGATTTAAGCTCATCTGTGTACTAAACTATTTTAGGATTTTGTCAGAGTTGGTGCTGATGCTGCATCCCAGTGGCAGCAGAACCTGAAATTGTGAAGTCAGACTGACGTCAGTTTTTAGCTTGTCAGAATGTCGAAAAAAGTCATTTCTATTTTTTGCTCTGACAGAATAATGCCACAGTAACACATTTTGAGTGTACAAACTGCATAAAAACATATTGATGAATAATTGCCATAAAGTACTACATGTACGACTGACTTAATGTAAAATAAACAACACAGTATTGCTGTTTGACACTGTCGATGCGAAGAGCAGACTGATCTGTTGCACTGAGCAGACCGTTTCTTTTTGTTGTTCAACCTTCATGTCTTCTGTAGACCGTCTCCACGTCCTCAGGGATGTATCCCATGTTCATTTTTGCTGAGGGAGAAAGGCGAGAGGTGGAGGAGGATAGCATGGCATCTCCATACAGCGTCTTTTCCATACAGAGAGACGACAAACTGAGAAGTGAAGACACCAACAGTATAGATGACTTTGTTCTGCTGTAAACAGAAACAAAAGGACCAGATAATTTTTATTTTATGTGACGATAGTGGAGCAACTCTAAATGATGGGAACAAACTTGTTTTTCATTAGCCTCTGAATACAACCACTGCAAGACTGTTCTGTAAAATAAACTGGGTTGGATTTCAGTCCAAGTTTTCCTGTATTTTTTTTATTGTTGTTTTTGTATTTATTGTTTCAGCTGAAGAACAGTTACTGTATTTCTGCTCAAATGAAGAACCTTCAGAAGTGAAAAAGCTTTGATTTGTTTGGTTTAAAAAACCAAATCCATCATATCATTTAAACTGTAAATCAGTCATGTATAAATAAGCTGACACTTTATGAACAAACCTGTTTCATGTAGCATAATGAGGATATGCTGCGCTTTATGTGGACTGTTGCAAAATGTAAATTCTCTTGAAATAAAAATGACATTTTTTTAGAAATAATTGTACTTAATGTTTTTATTTATTGGCATATAATTTACAAAGTTAACCTCCTTGTTTGTTTATTGTGCTGANTCCTTGTTTGTTTATTGTGCTGATTTTATTTATTTGTTTTTTTCAATTTGGCTCAGGTATTTTTTAATCCTTAACATATAACTTGTTAGCATGTAAATTCTCTTGAAATAAAAATGACATTTTTTTAGAAATAATTGTACTTAATGTTTTTATTTATTGGTATATAATTTACAAAGTTAACCTCCTTGTTTGTTTATTGTGCTGATTTTATTTATTTGTTTTTTTCAATTTGGCTCAGGTATTTTTTAATCCTTAACATATAACTTGTTAGCATGTACATCAATATGAAGTCTGTAAAATTAATCAAAAGAGGTGTTTTTTCTGAATGTCTCATTGTTTGGCCTACATAAAAAAAACATTCTGAGGACTTGTTTCACTCATTTAAAAGTCAAAACAAGATTTCCATTATTTTTACAATATTGTGTATAACTCATCAACATAAACACTGAAGAAATGGGGCAGAAATAGAATCAAATCTTTGGTTTAATCCAGTCTTCCATCCCCCACCTTGTTTTGGTTCCTGTAACTGCAGTACCTCTACCGGCCTGCAGCTTGGGGGCGCTGTAGAGTCACTGACAGAGTGGGGTTGAAGGAAAAAAACCGGACTGGGTAGATCGCTCTTTGTTTCTGGCTACAAGGAAAACCAAGACACTCTACGACCGGCGAAAACCCAAATACCATCCCTTCTGTAAGCGATCTGTAATTTTCTACCTTACAAKGAGAGTTTTTTCTATATATGTGTGTATTTTTGGAAGTGTATTAAAGTAGGATTTTGCTCTTTGATAGAAAAGATTAGACGGATGTTACAGTAGCGCTGCTCGGCGCCGTACAGTGAAATGAATGAAAGTAGTTTTTGGACTGAGCGGAGCGGTGAGTCAAGAAGGGTACGGGAGGCGCGATGGATCAATCAGCTCTCACGACGAGTGATGCTCAGACCTTTAACATCTCGCCGCATCGCACCAAATATTTCGCAAAAAGACCCAGTTTTTCAGCYTAATTGGCCTGCCCTTGTACAGCATGGCAGGCTAGGCTAGCTCARTTAGCTCACTAGCATGCTAACCACTTTCAAACGATATTGGTTTTTATTTCTAGTCCAGATTCGCTTTACTTTCTAAAGGTTTATCATACTTTTATTGTGATTTAACAAATGAATTAACTGTTTAATGAATTCCAACTAACCAGTGTAACAGTGACTGAATGTAAGACTTTAGACAATGGGTTTTAATGTTCACAACGTAACCTTATCAACAAAAGCCGGCTAGGCCAGGCTAATGCTAGCAGGAAAGACTAAAGTAACTATAAAAATCGGAATTAAACTTGTAAGCGTTTTAAAATTTAAAGTCCACTCAAGCTCAAACTGTTTTTGTCAGTTTCCTATTTCTGATACATGTCTGAGTATTTTGCAGAGAATTCCATGTTTTATTCCCTTGAGTATGGTCTGAATTTATGTATATTTTTGTACTTATTGTTGTTTTGTCATACAATTTAAAACCACATAACATCACCTCAGCCACTGCCTTGACTTTTAAAATCTCATTGGCTGTATAAGGTGTCATCCCGTAATAACAAAAACAATCAGTTTTGTTTCAGACAGGCTCAAGTATTTGTGTAACACTATTATTTACAAACAGAGAGGGCTGTTTTTGATTTTTATTCAGTAAAATAAAACCACTTTTTGATAACCATATTCAGGTAATTTAAAAG